GCAGCATCGAGCCAGGATCCCAAGTTGGGATGGGTGGTCGTTTTAGAAACATGCGATAGTACCAAGACAAAAAAGTGTTTCATCACTTTCTCTTATTTTTTTTAATTTTTTTCATTTTTTTCACTTATTTTCCGTAAGGGGTGTCACGTATATTATAGATTTTCAGTGCTAGCAATCAATATCGGAACGCAATTATAATCTACTGAAAATTTCTCGTTTTTATCCTTTCCTAATATTATCATCATTCGCTGCGAATATTCGCGGCGAAATTCCATAGAAGGTGTTACCCCGGATATAGGAACGTACTTAAAACGTACTTAGTCGATCGCAGTACATATGAGAATATTCTGAAATGATCGCAATATACGCATTGCGATCTTCTCAGAACATACTTAGAATGTATGCGTGCTGTTAGGATGTATTATCAAATATTTTTTGATAATTTAATATCAAATAAATTTGATATTGAATGACATCGTACGATAAAGATCTCATTTAAAATTCAATGGAGAACAAGTTTTTGTTATTTATATTCAGTATTCAAAATCAATTACTATTCTAAAATATTGGCACGTTTGTGAATTTTTGTTAATTAGAAAATATCATTTATATCAATTTATTATAAATAGGTAAATAGATAGATAGATATTTATTTCGTGCCTTTCGGCTTTAAAAGGATTCTACATCGGTCTTACATAATTCTTAATTTAATAACAATGTATAAACCTAAAATGTATTAACATGGTACATAAATATTTTCTTAAGCTTAGTAATTTTGGTTAAATCTCTTTCTGACTTTACTATTTACTGCCTATCTTCCTACTTTTCTATACTTTCTTTGGATTTGTTCTCTTTTCTTGCTTTTACGATTTTCTTCATCCAACTGATTCCTTTCCCCTTTTTTCCTAGCAACTGATTTATTCTTGTATTCTTATCTCTTATCTCTACTATCTAACAATTTATTATAAATATATATCTCAATTTTAATAAATCAATTTTAATAAATCATGTACTAAATTTTATGTCAAATGTATAAAATCAAAAAGACACGATTAAAATTATGAAAATAGCAACACAATTTTCTGTATTCGTCCATTACGTCGATATTTTAACTTAGAAGATATCAGAAAAAATTGGTATTAGTCCGTTTCACGGTCTTCCAAATCAGAGTGAGAAAGAATGCCTCAAGAACGAAAGTTGCCTGCTTGGAAGAATATTTCTATTCGTGGCCATCGTCATCGACCGATATAATTCCGATGGGAAAACCTATCTAGTGGCGAGCTAGGTGACCGAGAATAGGAAGAAGAAACAAAATAACAAGAGAAAATGAGACGGAAATAAAAAAAAAGAATAAGACGTGGACGGAGAAAAGGAAAAGAGAAACACGGAGAGCGTGTAGGTTCGTCCGTGTAGGGACAGAAGGTAGCCCTGCGGGCAGCCAATCAAATAAAGTAGTCCGAGGTTGCTTTGCCGGATGCAAATTTAACTCCCGTGGGCTTTCTGTTTCCATCCTTCTCCTCCTCCTGCCGCTGTCGTTCTGCAACTGTGAACCGAGTCTCTGCACGAGTTTCCGGGATACACGGAAGTGGCCCTGTAGCCGATACACAGCTCACTATAGCTCCTCCCACTTCTCTTTCGCGTCCTATCCTTTCGCTGGATTATTTATCCTGATCCTTTTCAATTTCAGTTGTCGAAGAATGTATAATATAATTAGTTGTCCGCTCATATGCAATGATAAAATCTTTTTGTAATATATTTAAGAAGGATAGACATAACTAATTAGTTCAACTACTTTGTACTCACGTACGATGAGAAAATAGATCTTCGTTTCGAATTACTTTCCATTAAAAGGAGAACTAGTACATAACGGTACAACAATAAATTAGCGCAGCAGAGAGAGAGAGAGAGAGAGAGAGAGAGAGAGAGAGAGAGAGAG